ACTGGAGTTCTGAGGATTTCTTGTCAAGGTTGCTGGCGTAGAGAGAATAATGTACAAAGGATCAAAATGGAAATAATCACAGCATCTATTTGGCTACTGAAATCAGATACTTATACAAGCTATGGAAGCAGTGGAGAATACATTACCGTCCACTCTGCTTCTCCTCGAATGAAAGGAATTGTTGCTAGGCGAGCGCACAATTTGAACGGGGATTAAAATGGACAGTGTTCTCATTACATAATATCAAAACGAATTTTTCCCCTTCCTCCCGAACAGCACAAAATGGATGGAATCCAAAGCTTGAGTCTAAACCTCATTAACAGGAAATGCGCCTAGGACCCTGCTTGGGTGAAACAGTTGCCAGGTTTACGGTCATTGTATTGATAATGAAAACGTCTTCACGTGGCTTCTAGCAGTGTATAAAACCTAATAGCACAAGCAAGGCCAGCCAGTTTCAACTAATCCAAAGAGCCTTTTTAAAACTTTCCTTGTTTTTATTTGTATCATTGTGAGCATTTCTGAAGAGTGCTATGTAATACAAGAACTGTTAACATTTGATTAGCTACCAGTTTGATTCGCTACATGGGTAGATTCGGGTTCAGCTCCCCCATCAGCCACATGTTACTGGATGAAGGGCCACGTGGGTATGTTTTAGCCTAGCCTACCTCCTAGCACTGTTCAGACAATGAAAGTTTGGGGGTGGGAGGGAGGTCCTTTGCTCCCTCCTAAGTCCCCTAGAGGAAAAGTGGGGTGCATATAAACGACGTATCACCGTCTTGCGTGCCCACTTCCGTATTGTTCTTGAAGAGCAGCTTGCCTGCTCAACAGCACAGATCTCTGCTCTTCGGAAAGAAACTTACTGAGGATGTGGAACTTGTTCGTCTGCATGCACATATCTCGCAGCATGTCAGCACTTGTCAGCAAACATTTGAACAGTTTCCCCCTATTCCAGCGAAACAGACCAGCTGATTTCCGGGCTCTTTCTTTCCAAATACATGGTTTCAGCAGGATCCTACATAGATCCATTCAGAAGAAATTCCAGTTGAGTTCAGCCCCTGGTACCAGGCACAGTACTGCAGCCAAAATCCCACAGTAGCCTTGGAAAGGTGCCCAGTGCTCGAGTTTTGCTTCAATTAAAGCCCAAGAGGCGGAAACGGATTCAAAACCCCATTGAAATCAATGGGACTCACATCGAAGCGCTGCGTGCTCTCAAAAGCATTTCCCCAAAGAGGTCTTTTTCCAGGCACCTGGCTGGGGACAAGAACAAGCTTTGCCACGCTCCCACTTGCCTAGAGGTGGCTTTGGGGAAGGTTGATTCCATCCAGAACTTTCTCTCTGCCACCCCGAGTGTAGGAATTATTTATGCAGTATGCCTCTAAGCTGAATAAAACTTTTCTTTTTTTGGATGGATGGATGGAACAGAAATGCTAATATTCCTGAATCAAGCAACTGTGCTACGTGTTTTGTCTTTCTGGCATCGTTAGTGATGCACAATTAATACGACACGTCAGTCAGTCGTCTCGAGGAAAAAAGAAGGGAAGGGATGGCCCACACGTGAGACGGATCTTAAAGGAAGCAGGTCTGGCTGTCCCCTGGATTGCGTCGGTGTCAACAAGCCATTCATTCGCCCCTGGAAATCTGGCACGGCGTTTTTCTCGGGCTTGCCTCGCACAAGCGTCTCTTCGCCTTGCGCAGACTCGCGGCTGCTGGCCAGTCCTGGGCACGCACCGAGCCGGGGGCGCTTCTCCCGGGCAAAAAGGATGCTTGGCTGCTTCTCTCGGGCTGGCACGTTTTCCGAGGAAGCCCCCACGGCCATCGCCTGCAGACGCGCCAATGAACCGATCGACCGGGTCGGTGGATCGACTTGAAAGGCCCCCGGGAGCCACGGCCGCAGCGCACGAGTGCTTTGCGGAGCTGGACTGGGCGAACCGGAGCAAGGCGCGCTCCGAAGTCGCGCCTGCGGGGTGGAGGGTTCCCAGGTGGAGAGGGTTCCCGGGTGCTTTCGAGTGCAGTGGCGAGGCATGGGCGCCCTCACAAGGCTCAGGCTCAGGCTCAGGCTCAGGCCGTCCGTCAATGCGCGCGGGGCGCCTATTCCAGACCCGGCTTGCCTTCTCCGCCTAGCTTGGCCTTCGCCAAACGGACTAACGCACCCGATCGCATCTGAGCACCCAGACACAGGTTGCTTCAATCATCTGGCAGAGTAAGGAGGGCTTCTTGCGGCAGAGGCCCCCGGCCATTTCGTGGTGGCCTGGCCCCCGCTCAGCGCCCGGGGCGCCGCGGCCTGCCCAGATGCGCGCCCTCCCGCCGCCAGGCCTCACGGGCGAGCCCCTTTCTCCCGCGGCGGCTTCAAGCTCAGCCGCCTCGGGAGCGCGGGGCGCACGCCGCGCAGCCCCGCGCAATGCCAGGGGCGCGGAGGGGCGCCACGGCTCGGACGCCCGCTCTCTGTCCGGTTTCCCCCTTTGGGAACGGGGGCGGGCAACGCCCTGCTTACTGGTTTATCCGTTTCATCGCTCTCTCCCGCTTTTCCTCATGCAAGGGAAGGCGGCCTTCCTTCTTCCTCTCCAGTTATCCTCACAACAACCCTGTGAGGTAGGTCAGGCTGAGTGTCGCTGACCCAGCTAGAACTACGCCGTGAGCGCTGTGGCCCAGCGGGGAGAACCCGGAGAACCCCAGTCGCAGCCCAGCACTAACCATTATGCCACACTGTTTTCATGTTTCCTGCCTATTGGTTACTTTTTATTGCATTAGGTAGGGATATACAGTACCTTCCCCTTGATCATACTAGCTGTCACATAGTCAAGAAGCTACCTAATCATTTATCCTCATCATTTTGCGCCCTGATTTATTTTTCTTCTCGCCAGGACCACGAGACAGCTTACATAAAACGCCCCCGCTGCTCCGCTCGATTTTCTCCCGCCAACAACCCCGTGAGGTAGGTCAGGCTGAGAGGCCGTGGCCGACCCCAAGTCACCCGTGAGCGTCACGGCTGAGCGGGGCCTTTCGAACCGGGCTCTCCCGGGCCCCGTCCAGCGCTCCTGCCCCGGCGGCGCTGGCCCAGACCTGGCCTCCCGCACGGGCGCGTCTCCAGCCGCTGCCGGGCCGCCGAGAGCAAGCGAGGGCCCTGCACCGAGCCGGGCAGCCCGGCAGCCCCGCCGGCTGCGCCAGCCGCGCGTCCCTTTAATCAGTTCTGCTCGCCGGGCTAAATTAAAGCGATGATGGAAACACTCCCCGCTTCGGCCACGGCAGGGACCTGTAGGGAAACGGTCCATTAAGTCCGGATCCGGAGCTATTTATAGAGGAGAGCGACGCCCGGGGGACGAGCTCGCGTCGCCTCCGGCTCCCAGGCAGCGCCCGCCGGTGGGCGCAAGGGCTCAGCCCTGCGGTTCTGAGGCCGATTGGACACAGCACCTGAATTCTGGTGTAACGGGAGCATTTGCGGCTGCAGTCCTTAGACACCGCTGAACTCAACCGGGCTGACTTCTAAACAGACACGCAACGGGATTGCGTGGCTTCTCTGTCGTGGGAGGATCCTTGCACCTTCCTTTGCCTAAGTTAAAACATCAGTGCGACGTCGCTGTGCGTGCACCACGTTTGCTCTTGCAGCCCGGTCCTCCCTGTGCTCAGCCAGAAGCAAGTCCCTCCCGAGGCCAGGGGGCCTCACGCCCAAAGAAGCGCGCAAAAGACCGGAACAACCAGGCTGCGCCTCCAGGCACATTTGCGCGCAAAGAAGGGCTCGCGCGCCCCGGGCGGCTGAGACCCGAGCAGCTCTGGCGACTGAATGCATCTGTGCTCCCACCCCGCTTTCCTTTGGCAAGGGGCTGCCCGTCGCCATCTTCCCGCCCACCCTCGTTTCCCCGCGACTACCCCGGCTGGGAAGGCGTTATAAAGAAATCTAGAGAGGCAGACAGGGTTGTTATCGGAATGAATCTCTGTCTGCAACGGGAGCAGGCCGATGGTATATTATTTGCTCCCCCTTCCTGCCTTCATTCCGGGCCGCCGGAGCGCTGACTGGCTGCCAGCCCCCCTATCTCCCGGGCGCAGCAGACTGACGAATGGCCCTTTAATAAGGCCCTCGTTAATCTTTCTCCCCCAGGAGATCAGTATTTTCTGGGCCGATAAGGTTGAAAAATTCCAGACAGTGAGATGTGGCAAAGCAGCCCCACGCAGCCTGGTAGCGTGCAGCGAGGCGCCCCCGCCCCCTTTTCTCTGCCCGGCAACTTCGACTGACCCCCCCCCCCACTCGCTGAAGTCGAGCCGGCAGGAGGAAGCGGAGCGACGCCGCAGGCTTCAGCGAGCCCGGATCTGGGGCAGCGAGGCCACGGGCGAAGGCAGGCGGACAGGCAGGAGGAGAAAGGAGGCTGGCGCTGGAAGGGAGCTGCGGCCTGCGGCGCTTCGCCGCGCACCCCCGTCCCGCCTCGGGAGGCCCGCTGGGAACACGCAGCGCTGTTTCTCTCCCCGCAGCAAACGCCCGACGCGCGCCAAGCACTCGGGCTTGTGGCCCCGAACACGCGTCTTTCTGGGTGCTCCGCCCGCGGCGCAAGAGCGAGCTCAGCTCCGGGCAGGGCTGGCCCGCGCCGCTCGTCCTCGCCGCCTTCGGACAGCAGGGGGCGCAAGAGACCACCGCGCGGCTCGGCGCGCCTCGCTCCCAGCGAACGGCCGGGAAGGGGGAAAGCGGCGCTGCGCCCGCCGCAGCACCCCGCCTCCCCTCCCGAAACGAATTTGGGGTATCGCTCACTCAGCGGGAGGAGGAAAGAGAGGAGGAGCGCCCCGCTGCCCTTCCGCTCCCTTTCTGAGCCATCTCAAGATAAAAGAGGTGGCCTACTTGCTTTGTGAGCCAACCGAGCGCCTGCTATCCTTCCAGGAGCGGAGCGACGCGTGCAGGAGAGAGATAAAAGCTCCGGCCCCGATTTCGGACCCGAGACGAGCGCGACGGAGCGGGCAGGGGCAGGGGCAGGGGCGGGCGGGCGGAGGGACAGGAAACCGCGCGCGGTGTGTCTTACCGCATATCTTGAGTCCGATTTTCTTCGTGCAGCCGTGAGCCACACCGCACCAGGTGTCATAGGCTAAAAGGAACAGAAACAAAGGGGTTACGCCCTGCAGAAGGCGGTCGGGCCAGCACAGCCTGCTTCACAATCCCCAGTCGAAGCTGCAGATCTGCCTCGAAACCTCGCAATACTCCACACGTAAACAGATGTTTTAGTAGCAGCACCGGTATCAGTCACTCCCCTATGCATAAAAAAGTACCACGAGGTGACTGCTCAAACTGAAACGTTATTATTATTATTATTATTATTATTTAATCAAAGTAAGGTGAGGTAGATGTCATTACCTTGGAAGGGGAATCTAATTGACCTTATGCAAACACCGCCCTGACCGAAAGCCTACAAGTCCCCAGAATTTAGGTTTATATGAGATACACAGGCAGGACAGCAGCTGCTCCATGCTGAATACGGTGTTTTAAATTTTATTTTTCTATTTTCTGCTCTCACGGGACCTAGGAATTCACGATTACACGAAATGGATTATCCTCGAGACGATCAAGGATATCTTTGGTGTGAACACATGCCCTGGCCGCACGTAGGAGGCCTGAGGTCAGAATTTCAGGCTGCACCCTTCCGCGTTGGCATTTGAAACGAAACGAAACGAAACAAGCGCGTTGAGTGAAAACCGGGCAGATTGCAAGAGGTGGTCCTGACAAGCCGCTGCGGCGCCTGCCTGGTTCTCTGAGCCTGATCATGGCCGCTCAGGCGTCCGGGCTGGCAGAAGTCTTTGTTCTGCCATCACGGAACCGCCGCAACAGAAAGAAGCCACGTGCCTTCGCCAAAGCTTTCTGCCAGCGCCCTCTCTGGAGCCTCCATCAATCCCTCGCCCCAAGTTGATGTTCGTGGCCCGATCATAATTGTAGTCGAGAGACGTGCTCTCCTTCGCGAAGAGACTTGAGGCATTTGCTGGGATCGAAGGAGGGAGGAGCGCCCGGAGCACTGAGCCGGCTCGCCCACAAATTGGGTCCCATCCGCACGAGGGGAGGGGAAAACGCAGCTGGAAAGGACCCGAACGTCTCCTCATAATTTACTGGCAGGGCTCCAGGAAAGTGGCAGCTTAAAATAAACGGGCATGAAATGGGGTCATGGAAGAGTTCAAGAATTAATTGGGTGAAAAATAGTATTTGACTAGATGATCCGACTTGCATGACTAGGTTGCAGCTGGAGCGACTGGTCGGGGAGACGAAATCGAAGGCCCCTCACGTCGTTTCGCGCCCCCTTTGCGCGGCTCCGCATCCAGCCCGCTCCGCCCGCTCGGGCGCTTGGACAGCCGCTGGCGCTGTCCAGCCCTGGTGGTGCTGAAGGCGGGCGGGAGGCGGCGGCGACCTTCAGCGGGCGAGGAAGGCGTTGCCCAAGAGGCCTGGCCGGGAGTGGAGCGCACGGGAGTGAAGCGGTGAGCCCCCTTTCGGCCTGAGGTGAGCGAGGGGCCTCCTCCACCTCTTGTGAAACCCGCAGATGGTTTTGCCACATGGCGAGGTCCCGCTGTGGGTTTCAGCGCGGAGCGGAGCGGAGCAGAGCAGAGCAAAGAGGAACCACACAAGAAACAGAACATCCTCCCTCCCACGGCCCACGCACAGGCACCAGGAGAATCGTAGGAGAAAGAGAACTGATTTCTGCCATCCACATCCCAGAGGGCCAGAGGCACATGAGAAGGGGAAATTGGCTCTATTACAGAAGGCTATAGTACTAAGTTCCACTCAATTCAGTGGAATTTACTTCAGAGGAAACTTGCTTGCTTTAAATCTGCAATGTTTGCAACTGTGGTGTGAATTACTAAGTCAGATCCTAATGGATCCTCAGTGTTTATGTATCTTAGAGGGAACCAATATTTTGCAATACTGCTCAAACTTTGACGAGTCTTAAATAAGACCCAGGTGACATCACCCAGTTGTCCCAAAGCAGGTTAAATACAAAGCCAAATGCTATTTAAATAAAAGCACCCTAAGGTGGAATTCAGCTACTTGATTATAGGAAATTTCATTGGAAATTAATAATTTCCAGCCCTCTTCCTTCAACCTGGAAGAAACTAGCAAGCGAGCAAAACAAGGAGGTGGGATAGGATTTGTATAGCCATAAATAATACATGTCAAATCGAAATTTAAACCCTTTCTTAGATTATGAAAGGTCGACCATTGCCCACACATGCTGCACAAGAGTAAAGCTGGGCCCGCAATTTGTGTGTGCAGGAACACGCACTTCTGCAGCTGGAACGTGACTGCTTTCCTTTGGACTTAATGTCCAACGACTTCCACAGAACTTCCTCTCAGGTAACAGTGCAGCTGGACCGCCCAATTCTGTGCACCTTCATTCGAAAGTCAGTCTCCGCTGACGCCCCTTTTCCTCTTTCAGTGTTCACAGGAGGGCAGTCCTAAAATTCAGCGTGAGAGTGCGGCAAGCGATACAGAAGGGACGTCGCTGGCCCCTTGGATGAACGGGTCGTGAACCAAGGCAAGCCACGAGGGGCCCCTCGCCCCTCGGCTCCGCCCACAGGGCCTGCGGGGCGTGCGCGTCGGCCCGCGAGAGGGAGAGGCGCGCCGTCCTCTCAGGGCCGCCTGCAGGGGGCGCGCTCCGTGCCTGCAGGAGGCGAGGCGGGAACGTGGGCTTTGCTCAGAGAAATGATGGCGCGCTGCAGAACGGCAGATTTTTGCACGGGGTTGGAGGGCGAAAGGGTGTGAGAACTGGAAAAACAGACGACAGGAACATGCGATAAAATAAAACGCGCCCGGAGGCGCTGTGGGAGAAGGGAGCCTCGGGAAGAGAGGCCAAGTGAAGCGTGCAAGGTGGGAGGCAGGGAGGGAGCGGCAAGCCCCGGCGGGTGGCGAGGGCTGTGGGCGCCGGCGGGCAGGGCGGGACAGGCCGGCTGGCTCGGAAGGGCACCGGGAGGACGCGGCCGCCGCCTCCGGCGAGCAAGCGGAGCCCAGGCGACGCGGGAAGGCGGCGCTGGCAGGGCTGGGGAGCCGCTGCGCTCCCGCCCCAGGCGGCGGAAGGCGAGCCGAGCGTGCCCGGGCGAGCGGGGCGACAGGCCTCTCCGCCGCCACCGAGGCCGCGCGGCGCCTCCGGCCGTCGGGAAACAATGGGCGGCGCGGCCTGGGGGCGCGTGCCCCGAAGTGGCGGGAAGGCGGGCGAGGGGAGCCCGGCGCGCCCCCCGCCGCCACGCCCGCGGCCCAGCCGGCGCTCCTCCGCGGGGGCACGTGGACCTGGCGAGCCCGCTGCGCCGTCCGGAACCGGGCCGCCCGCCTCGCTCGACGCCTCCGCCGCGGGAGGAGAGCAGCGCAGCCGTTCCGTTAGCGGGCCGCCGCTCTGCTCCTCCTCCCCGGCAGGCGCAGGATACGCGGCAGGGACGGGGCGTTCATGCCTCGCGGCCGCGCCGCTTTTTCCGGGGCAGCAGCCGCTCCTCGCTCGGCCGCGGCGGGGCTCGGGCGCGCGCGCACCCATCTGCATGCAGGCGCGAATTTATGTAAGCTCGCACGCCGGCCGTGTGCGGCGGCGGCGGCGGCGCCTTCCAAGGGCCGCTTCCTCCGGCACCTGGATTTGCAAAGGCGGGTGGAGGGGCAGCGGCCAGCGGCACGGAAAAGCTCGTAGGCGAGACAATGGAGCGGGGGAGAAGCCCACGGGAGCAGGGCGCCGGCTAGCCCAGGGGGCGGGGCACAGGAGTGCGCCCCGGTCCAGTCCCGTTCTTTCCGCAGGTGGCCACGGACGGCAGTGGGGCAAGGCTGGCGCCATCCGGGCCACTCCGGGCCCGCCGTCGGCCCCGCCTCTTTAGCCAAGCGCTTCCCTCTGCTTTCCAGGCGCCATCCCGCCCCCGCCCCCCCGCTCTGTCGCTCGTGATCGCTTCACCCCCCCTCCCCCGCCACTCCCTCCCGCGCGGCCCTCTGGGCGGCTAAGCGCCCGTCCGAACGGCCTGGGCCAAGCGGGGCATGGCTCCTCCCCGCACGCCCGGAGACCGGGGCCCTCCGCCACGGCGGCTGCCTGCGCTCGAGAGCCTCCGAGGGCGCGGCGGAGCCAGGCCGCGCCGTGAGAGCGGCTGCCACGGAGGCGCGCGGGGCCGCACTCGCGCGCCTGCCAAGCACGCGTGGGCTGGGCCCGGGCTGGCTCTCCGCGGCGCCGCAGGGCGCCCGCCGGTGCCCCGGGGCAGGAGCAGCCCCGCGCTCCTCCCGCCCGGCTGGGAGCGGCGCCTCTCCGCGCCCTTCCCTCCGGGGCTCCGAGGCCGAGCCCGCGCCGCGCCGCCTCCCACGCCCACCGCCGGCCTCGGCCCCCCGGCGCAGGGAACGCGAAGGGCTTGGGCGCCGCCCGCCTCCCCGCGGCCCGGACTCGCGCCTCCGTCCTCGCAGCCCCAGCCGAAAATGACGCCGCATGCACCGCGCGATGCCTGCCAAACGAAGATGGAGCCGCGCGCGCGCGCGCACGCCCCCCTCCCCCGCAGACCTACTTGTGGGTCGCAAATTCGTCGGATTGGGATCCTGAGCAGGAGTAGACGAGGACGGCTCCGAGGTGGCCATGTGCTCCCGACTCTAAGCCCTGCGAGCCCAGCTTTGGTGCTTCGCTGTGTTGCGGACCCCGCCAGCGAGAGGCTCGGCTGCAAGGAAAGAGAGAGGCGGGTTTAGAAACCGGGTCCTTGGAGGGTCGCGGGTCGCGCTGCCCGCGCTCTGCCTCCGCCTTTGTTTATTCGGGAGGCGCGACGGTCCGGAGGCGCGTCCGCGGCCGAGCCTGGGCAGTGACACTCCGGGGAAGCGGCGGTCGTCGGAGGCGCGCTGGGGCGGGGAGGGCGCGCGTGGGGCGGCGGGCAAGCCGCACAAAGGGGCCGCGTGGGAAGGAGCGCCCGGTTCCGACGAGACGAGACGGGCCTCGGAGCCAGACAGCGCGGGTCTCTCGCCCGCCTCCTCGCGATCCAGACAACAAAGCTCCGTGGACGCAGAAGGGGCTGGCGGCGCCGGCCCTCGCCGGTCTGGCCACGGCTGGCGGTCACGGCCGGCGCGGAGACGTCTGCACGGCGCCGGCGAGCGCAGCCGTGCCTTTGCGACTGGAGGAGAGGCGAGCGCGTCGCCCGCGCCGGAGGAGAAGGATGGCTTCAGCCGACCATAAAGTCTGTGGTAATTATATCAACGGGCAATGAGGAGGGCGATTACGGTTCGCACCAAATGGGAAAAGCAGCTTCCAATAAGCGGCCGTGGAGCAGCAGCAGCAGCAGCAGCAGCAGCGAGAAGAGGAGGAGAGGATGCTCAGGTCGTAAGTCGTGGTGGAAAGAAGTCTTGTGACAGCCGATCGTGCATCTTTCCTTCTTCCAGCTGCATGCAACGCCAGACTAAGTAACGTGGCGGGCGGATAACTTCGCTGTGGGCGAACAATGCGGATAAAAGGAACCATGAAGGCGGCACTCGCCACACCGTTATCGAGGAGTAGGTCCTACTGAACAGGGGGGGCTTACTTCTGAGTAGATACGTCCAGGATTGCGCTGTAAACCAATATATTTTATGCAGCAACTCACACCTATTCACACAGACACACAAAGAGCAGCACACACGAAAGGTGTGCGGCCAGAGACGTGCACCTGCACACTTAATCGAGAACAATGAGATTAAATGGGGCACAATTCGTTTTTGCATTTTCACAAATAAGACGCGGTGTGCATTCGTTACGAGTTGCCTGGCCTTTCTGGAGCAGCTTTTCATATGGATCCTTTGCTCCGCGTTTCAGAGATCCCAGTCGATTTCCAGCAGCCACTCCTGGTTCGGTGGCCTGCAACCCGCCTCTCTCCTTCCCTCCCCATGCGCTGGACGGCTCAGATTGGTTTTGCCCGATTTAGTAAATACAAATCCAAGGTCACAGCAAATTAAGTTTGGTCGCGATCTGGCAACACCTGTCAGCATTGCATTATTTAGACGAAAAGTTTCCACGAAAACACAACCGGTGCTAGAAAACAATGGCTTCGGGAGGAGAGGTCGGGGGGAGACTATTTTGTAATGCGCGGTCTGCGTAATTTAATTTAAAATCACGAATCTTAGCTCCCCGAGGCTGAGAGGAACAGGCACTCCGGGCCGAGCTTGGAAGGGAAGTAACAGGTTACCACCATAAACATCCGCTTCCCATTCTCCTCGCCAAATATTCTTGAATCAAATTCACACGGGAGAAAACACCGAATCTGTGCGATGCAAAAAGCTCCACACTCACGGAAGAGGATATCTCAAAAAACCTGGCTGACACAGAAAAAGAGAGCCTGGGGTGGGGGGAATAGAATTAAATCAAAAATTAAGAAAACTTACCAGCTGCAGATGCAAGGAGCTAGATCAAAGTCCCGAAGACCGAACCGGAGAAGATGGAGAAATCAAATCTGAGCCTTGGAAGGACTTGGCGCTTATAAACCCCGCCACGAACGACGTCGGAATCTCAATGGCGCCCTGGAATTTAATTCGAGACGACCCTTCCCCGCGCACGAGCGCTCGGGGTATGCTTCTTTCCCAAGCGTGACTTCTTGGCTGGTCCGTGGCGACGCAGGCATGAGTCACAGCGCACCCCCTTTGCTCCAGCATGGGAGGCAAGATCGCCGGAGTTTGGGGCGGGGGTAGAAGGGGGAATCACGCGCCTCCGGGGGCTGCTGCGTCTTCCTCGGCGAACGCGACTCACTTGCAGGTGTCGCGGGTCCCTGAAGGAGGAAGGAAGTGGGCAGTGCGGTGACGGAGGCTTTGCAACTCGATTATGAATCCAGATCACGAAGGAAGGAAGCGGTTGACCCGAGAGCGCACCCTTACCGCACGCCGGGAGAAGGGCAGGGCAGCCTGGAGGGCGGCGCTTTCCTCTCGCCCTGAGCCAGTCCCCTGGATGCCCTGCAGGAGCCCTGAAAGACGGAGCCCGTCCCCGTTCGGGGCGCGCCTTGCCCCCGCTAGCCTTCATCGGGTCTGCTGATGAAGCTCGCTTTCCGGGAGGCAGCCGGTCGACCCCAGTCGGGGCTCATCGACGTCTTTGTTGGGCAGCATTATTAGCGCCCGGGACGTTCCGGTGAGACGAGTGGGCAGTGGCCTTCGGGGGGAACAATTCCTTCCCCGATTCACTGGGGGGCTCAGAGAAGTTGCGGAAAGCCCACCGACCATTTGCTGCCGTCTAGGAGGGGGAGGGGGCGGGAAGCCTGGCTCTGAATGAACCCTTTGAGAGGCTCCACTGGGGGGCGCCAATGAACCAGAGACGGGAGAGCGCCTCGGCGTCCTTTCCGCTTAACTACAGACTGGAGAACACCTGGCCGCCCGGCCGCGGATTTAGCAACACAATCACACACGCGCGCACGCGCACTGAGCCGCGGTCCTAGCAGCGCTCTTTGTCCAGAGACGAAATTGAAGGAGAGAAGGGGAAACCTTCTACGTCCTGGGAAACCTTCCTGGGTTTTAAAATATGCCATTCCTCGTCGACGCAGGATGTGCTTTGCTTTGGCGCCAAGAAACTGCTTAGCCAGATGTAGAAAGGGGCAATCAAACACCATGTCGCAGTGCACGCGCGCACACACGCGCGCACACACGGGAGGCAGGGGGAAGAGAATGGGAAACAGTCGTGTGGATGTCAGGAGAGCTCTTACGGAGGAGAGTCAGCCAGCAGCCCTCAGTGCAGGTTCTGCTCGTGCGACCTTTCCGAAGGACTCGGGGGAAAACCGCCGACCCTTCGGCCGGGAGGGCCGCGCAAGGCAGGCAGGGCAGGGCGAAGGGCGGCGCAGGACGGTCGCTCCGCCGGCCCTCGCAGCGGCCCTGCCGCTTGCCGTCCTGTCACCAACGAGGCCAGAGCGCCGCCGCTCTTCGCTTGTGGCTTGACGGCTATGCCCCGATCACAGCCGTCGTTATTTCCGGAAATCTTTTTTTTAACTTTGGGCCGAACTTTTCCTTCCTTGCCTTAACAGCAGGATACTTGTGCAACGCTCAGAAAGGACACGTTTCCCGGGCCTTGGAAGACTAGCATTTGCATTTGGCGAGCGTATTCTAAAGGAATACTGCTAGGAAGAAGAGTGTGGCGAACTGAGGCAGCTCCGCACAAGCCACACAACGATCGCCTTTACCGAGCACTCCTTCCGCGGGAAACGCCGGCTCCCAGGGCCCGGCGGAGGGCGTGTGTTCCGTGTGGGGGCGCGGGCCGTGTGGGGCGCGGGCCGGCGCCGGGAGGGCTTTCAGCACCTCGGAGAGCGGCGCCGGCGACAAACGCGACCCGGCTCTGCTAGAGAGAGGAGCGGCTGTGCCGCGGAGCGGGTTTGGGGTGCAGGCGGTGAGCGCCTCCCCCATCTCCAGCTGGGCCTTCACGTTGCCGCTTTCTCCCCACTTCGCCCCTTCGGATCAAGCCGAGGGGTCGTGCAGAGGGCCACTGATGGAGGAATAGCATCTCTGGACACTTGGGTTCACCGGCACTGGACAGAGCCAGGGATAGGGGAGAAAGAAGCAGGGCTTCCAAAACACGGCAGGCCTCACCCACAAGGTAAATCAGGGAAAGGCAGGTACAGTAATGGAGAAAAGTCACCCCGCACTGGTCCCTCCAAAGCAGGGATCACACCCTGAGCACAGGCAGGTGGATTTCAAATGGGTGCAGGTTCTACTTTGTTTTTCACTACAGACCAGAGCTTCACCAGCCTGAGGCAGCTGCTCAGGAAAGGTGGACACAGAATTGCAGAGACAGTGCCTCTGAACACATGCGTTGCTCAGGAACCGCAGTGCCAGGACTGGCATTTATTTGCCTCTGAATTCTTCAATATACAAATCTACCAGGTTTTTTCCAATGTTTTTGACTTCAGCAGCATAATGGAGAGGAGGAAGGTGCTGTTACTGTTTCATCATTGGGAGGAGGAAGAAACCTCTTGCTGATTGGCCACGTACCTTCCATTCCACCCTCTGACCAGCTAGAGCACCTGGAGCTCTCTCTCATCAAAAACATGACACACCAAGTGCAGAATACAAAACCTCATGGTTTCCAAGACAGTTGAATTGCTCCAGCTAAAAGCTAACAGCCCTTGCACATTTGGGCTTCCTTTAATGCAGGGCAGGAGTGGGAAATTAATTGTAGGCAGTTCTTAAATAACAATAAAACTAATTTGATAATATTAACACCACTTTATTTTAAACAAAGACAAATAACTGTAGCTTCACTTAAAGCACTTTCAGACCTAAGGAAGAGGAGAAAATCTGAAAATTACACTTATTTGACTCTTTAGAACCTTTCATAAAAACTAAGCTGTGTTGGCCTATATACAAATAACATAATGACAGACAATTATTATGAATAAAATGACCAGACATATTATGAAAACTGACTTTGAATAACAGTTTAAAGCAAAGTCCTTCTAAAGAAGCGAACTAATTTCAGCAGATCACTGCAAATGAAAAGGTGGGACAAAAATGTGACAGAACTGTTAGTAAACATTCAGTTCAAAGGGATCTTTTCCGCTTTCCTTTTCCGCTTAATAAGATTTGTCCCCCAGATGGCGCTATTTCTCACTCTCAGATGCTGAGAGGCGTTCAAACTATATTTTAATTGCTGCACTGAAATTTGCAAGCCCTAAGGTTTTCAGCTAATTTGAAATATTGCATATCTGATAACATTTTCCCTGGCATGAAAAATCTGCAATGCCATAGCGAAGGAAGGGAGAACACCATTTGTTAACTTGTGTTAGCTTTCCAAAAAGTCAAAAGTCTCCAGGTGACTGTAGCAGGTATAGGTTCTGACAGTTGCTTACATACATCTCTGGAAAGTTCCCTTCAGGCTTCAGCCCGCTCACTCCCCTTAGAAAAAGTCAGAGCTGCTTCTTGCAGCAACCCCGGGGAACAGGCACTTGAGGAAGTCACGGCAAATGCCGCAAACTCCTCCTGCAGATTAAAACCACCTTTTCTTTTCTATCCCAGGCTTTTGAAATAGTTTCCAGCCTTAGTATGGTTGTCACACAGGATATGGGAAACAGCAAATATGAACCTTAGTTATGCAAAACTAAAAATATTATATTGTATTATAACCAATCTTTATGTAAAATGGCCTTGGTAATCAGCAATGGATGATTTCATCCAATCATTACATCTTTCCTTTGAGAATATGTTGGAATTAAAATTAACTATGCATATTATGACAATAGTAGAGGGAAATAGGAAGGCAAGACGTATACACTCCTGGTTATCTTTTATATCTGAGGTATTTTCCCACCTCTGCATTCTTCTGATTCTTTGCTGTTTCTCCTCTATTTTCTTTCTTCCCATTTCTTATTGCTCATCTGCCCCTTCATCTATCCCCTCAAAAGTCATGTTCAGGAGACTCTTATGATCCAAGCCAGGAATCTCCAGACATTGTGAATACTCCCTGTGCAAAATATACCCCCTCTTTTTTTACAACTGAAAGTCAGGGATCCATTTGAAGCATTCAGCACAATGAAGGTCATACTTATCGCATCTTACAGAGGTGAAAAATAAGCATGGGAAACAGCTAAAAAGTGCTTTACTTTTGTAAAGGGACTGATAAGGAGTGGTGTTAGGGATCACATTATTTTACATAAGTGATAAACTATGCAAAGGATTTCTATTATATGGTCTTGTGTAATCTGTCATCTCTGTATAAACATCATGTAATTTCAATTCAGAAACTTCAGAAAGAATTTATTTTACAAGGCGAGTTTGTAAGACGCATTACAAAGCACCATTCAATAGATCTTTTTTCCAAGTGTATTCAAAGCCAGACCAAGGTTATTGAAATTTCAAATCTTCACCATCTGAAACAGCAACATGTCTCAGTATTATACACTGAGGAGCAATGCAAATACAGTGGTTGGCATGTTGGACTGGGGCTCTGCATGATCAGAGCCCCTGGTCCCCACTCAACCACAAGGCTCAGTGACTTTGGACCAGTCACTGACTCTCAGCCTAACTACCTCACAGCGTTGTTGTGAGGATAAGAATGAAAGGAGGATTGTGTAAACCACCCTGAGTTCCCTGAAGGGAAAAAAAAGTGAGATATAAATGTAATTAATTAAGAAAGAATATATGATCCAGCAAACCGAAGACATGTCTCAAATCATGTTTGTATGGCTTTCCACTGTTCAACAACACTGTCCATGTTGTAATCCCAGATTTGAAGGGCAGACCTAACTTCCTGAGCAAAACAAGGACTTCGGTTTAATTTACCTACTTCATTACTCAGTACCTATTTGTACCATAATTATTTCTCCTGGATATCAAGACAACAGAATGAGAATTAGTAGACACTTTAAGGCCACTATTCTACATTTCAAGTGGAATACAATCCTAATTTCTACTCTGAGCAATCCTTTCAAGTCAGGCATGATGAAACGTTTTCAGCCCAAGGGGGCAAATGCCATGTCACCAGGGTTCAGTGGTGGGTGCAGTCACAGGTGGAATGGCTATGGCCATGGGCAACACTGGGCAGGGCTGAACAAGCCGTCTCCATCCTGTCCTGCTATTATCAATGAAAAGTAGGAATCATGCCTATTCAAATATAAGCATGAGTATCATGACTATTTACGAATAAGCATGACTGTTTCATCTAGCAAATGTTAAGGGCCTTTAAAGAACATGGCATTTAAAGTTTTTTTATCTCCTCTCAATGAGCACAACTGTGTTGAAGGAAGGATGTTGTTCTGCAGCGGGGAAGTGCCAGTTCATCAGAGCTGCCTATGGCAGAGAGAGGGAATCTCCTGCAGGCTGCATCCAGCCCATGGCTTGGCGGTTCCTCATTCCTGCTTCCAGGACTGTGAGTTGAGGAAAACAGCTTGGAACACCTTTCCTCAGAATCCAATCCCATACAGGAAGAACACAGGGATGTTTAGCGTTCATACATAGTGTGACCTTTTCTCATACAACAATCCCCTGTAATTTATAGTATGCTCAGGAAGGGCGGGGGGGGGTACGAGGTACATATGCACAAGCCCCCCTGGCCTGGCATGCTGCCTCCAAACATTGGCATACGGGAGGGAAGAGAGGAAGGTTACTGAGCTCTCTAGGTGTTCCTTTGTTTGTTGACTGGACAGGCAGGCACAGAACCACCAATCTTGCTGCTTGCTTGCTTGTGTATAGGAGGACCACCTGCTATAAATTACTCCATAAGAACATTTGTTATCCATGCACAAATAAAATGAACACAAAGCATTTTATTTCTTTGACAAGTATTAATGATACACATATACTTTCACAACTGAACTTAATTTTTAAAATAGCATCAATGATCAGAGCAGAGAAATTCCTGCCACCTCCCCCAAACTCCTAGTAGCCTCTAGGAGGTAGGAACTGGGGAAGGGCTTCAGGAACAGAGAAAGTGGGACCAACAGAAAGGTCCAACGCTTGCACATGCTGGATGGTGAATCTTCACAGGTCAGCCTAGGATTATACTCCAGAGGCCCTCTCACCCATCCCTGCTATAGACAGCATCTAGAAAGAGATACTTTTACTGTCCCTCTGATCAGACCACTGGCAAACCTTGAAGGTAAGTCTTTTCCAGAAAATGCCATAAAATTTTATTCCTTGATTGCTGGGGGAGGGGAGGAATTTTAAATCTATCGGTCACATTTCCCAATTCGTTAACTCAGTAGCACAGCCCTACTTGTTACTCAGTCAGGTATGCTGCATAATCGACAGGACACCCAAAACTTCAAAAAGGAACAACAACCACCACCTCCACCACCACCACCCTCAGAAGCCTAGTGAGAGGCTGTGATGAGAATTCAAGAAGGGATGCTGTGTAAAGCTTCTTGGATTCTTAGAGTACTCCTAGTGCTCCATACCCCCCTCCCCCACACCAGTGGTCCAATCCAATGGTCACCCCTGAACCAATGTTCTAAAAGACCAGGCCACAGAACAGGCATGGAAGATGCATGTAAGAGCAGGCTCTGTGCTCGATCCTTGAGATGGAAAGAATTTAAAATTACCCTGCTTCGCAATCTCCTCAAGTCTTTTGCACAACACTTCCAACACCAACTGATGGCCAGAGATTCTACTGTATCTTTTTGCCGGTGCTCTTATATGCCAATTCACTGAAGCAAGACTAATAGCAAGAGCAAGAGGTGCTAACTTGTCCTGAACATTAAACTCCTCAAATCAAATGCATTTATTGCATAGACACGTTTAATATATCTCGCAAATGCTTTTCATTCCACAGGTTACCCATCAGTAGCATGTTTCAGGAATTGTCTTTGGCCAGCACTTTCACTGTTTGAAATAGTGCAACACTGAAGCAATGGAAGGACAAGGAACACATATATCATGGGGGGTAACAAGTGTTGTTAAACCAGCTCATTTTAATGTGGATATTTCAAAGAAATTTAATGTAAACATACACTCAGTTGTGGCACTGCCAAATTGTTAAGCATTTTCATCAGAATCTTCAGAACTTGATTCACTCTCAGTCTCACTGTGATCTGTACTGCTGGAATCACTCTCATCGCTGCTCCCTTCACCAGTGTCTTCGGCTTCTTCACCCCGTTGGCTATCTAATGTGGATAGATTAAGATACACACACGCATCAGCCTGGAAATTAAAATATCCAGGGGCTCCTCCGCCCATTCCCTGGCCTTGCCTGCATCCTCTCTCCCATGCACCTTGCCTGTCTTGGGGACAGGCAATGACCACAACATAGCTGCTATCATCTCCACGCACTTCCTTCTGCTGCTTTCCTTAGATCCAGGAGGTTACCAGATCTTCATGGGAAAAGCAATGGACATAGACTGCTTTCCATATATCTTTCTTTCAGCATTTTGGAAATGAACATGGGTGCTGCCCATCTTTTCTTCCTTTCCCTACATTTGACACGAGGCAGCACTGAGATGTCTATTCGTACGTACAGTATGGCTTCTCCTAGGACACATGGAGCTGCCACCATAAATTCCCATAAAGGTGCTTGGGCAAGGGCTACCTGCCCCAAGCACAGAAAAAGAACGGGCCAAATGGCCCCTTGAAATCCTGCACAGCCAGAGAAACAACATTGCTAGTGGCAACATTTAAAGGAACTTGTCTCTGCTTTAATCTTCTGAAAGTTTGCTTGTTAGATTTGCTTGCTTGTTAGATTTATATCCCACCTTTTTCTTTTTTGGAGAACTCAAGGTGGCTTACATCATTCTCTTCTTCCTGCTCTCAACCTTATCCCCACAAAAACAACCCTGTGGGGTAGGTTGGGCTAAGATTCTGTGACTGGCCCAGAGTCACCCAGTTGGCTGCATGGCTGAGCGGGGACTAGAACCCAGAGCCCCTGAGGCCAAGATCCATGCTCTTAACCACTACGCCACACTGGCTCTCTGTTGTCTGTTACATTTGAAAAAATTCTTGTGTCCCTTGAGCCACTGAGAAAAGCTCTCTTTTCTTTTTTCTTTTCCTGCCTTTCTCTTACCCTAGTGGTCACTTTGGATCAAGGAATGGGCTGGAAAAATCTCAGATATCTGGCTGAGTGGACATATACATTTTTATAAAATCACTCAGGAACTTGAAATATTTTCCAGCTCTGCAAAGGGCTAGGCAGTGAACAGTGGAGAAGAATGTGGGATATTTGCAAGACTGTAGGAGGTGGGCTCTTGGGGCAAACGTGGGCGCTCCCCTTATATGGCCAGAGAAACTTTCTGCGAAAACACCACCATTTGATATAACCCTGAGTGTCCGTGGATGAGAGGGCACGCAGTACCAATAGCCCTCCACTACTGAGGGACCAATTTGCCTTTTGCTCCTCCTCTGCCTGAATTGTTTCCATCTCAGCTGGTCATTATAAGATGTTTGCAACATTAAGAAATGGTATCTGAGTTTGCTATTTCCTTCTTTCTTCCCCATACTTTCCCCTTCTGTCCTCCGCCTTTAAAGCTGCTCTGGGAGTCCTTTTGGCAAAAGAGTGAGGAATTATAGTAAATACCACTGATACAATGATTCTGAAAAATGTGGAACAGGTGCAGATGATTTTTTCCAATATCATTAACACTAATTTTGCAAATAACAGTATAATCCTATGCATTCGGTGCACATGACTTCTAGGTAAACATGCATAGGATTCAGCTGTAACTGGGGTAACTCAAAATTTTTACCATTTATTGGAATGAGAGTATGGATAGGGAACAAGCTTCTGATTTGCTTTGGTTTCACAGGCCATGTCAGTTCAACAGGATCCAAATGTTTCTCTTGGTGGAGAGCAGAAACATTTGAAAATAGTTTGTACTATTTACCATTTTTCACACTTACCTAATAGTAGTTTGTGCTCAATAAGTGGAAGAAACTGCTTGGCCTCAGGGTTGTCTGGTTCATATATTAAAACTGGAATTTGACAAGAGGGATTATTGTCTATATAGAGAATTTCCAAAAAGAGCTATTAGTTCTTACAAATGCAAAAATTATGGTGGTCCCTCTTTCTAGATCAAATAGTCAAGTTAAAACAAAACATGAAGGATATGCAAAATCCATATTGCCAAGGTAGCCAAAGCCTTATTTTGATTAGTTTCAAAGTAAAAAGAGTGTCACCATTATAGCAGCACATCCCAACATTTCAACTACTTTTCTTGGAACTTTTAAAAATCAATTTTTCTCTGAACAACTTTGGGGGGAGGGGTGCAGGAATGGTTTGGTTTACATTTTAAGGTAAACCTGCTTAACCTGCATTTCCTGAATCAACATGCAACCCGAAATGCAGTTATCCTTGGGTATTCATGCTTCAAATTTCATAATACAGTTCTCCAGTGAAAACATGCATACAAAATGTGCATATTAGTGGAAATTATATAGAAAATTGTATAGAAAAACAAGGAAAATTGATTGTGAAAACAGTACCTATAGGCAAAATTGTGTATAAAAAAGAATGTAGTAGAATGTAGTACAAGAAAGGTGCATGAAAATGCAGACTTAAGTAATTATGGAAACTGGTACAGGAATAGGACAAAATAAACTTGAAAAATGAGAAGCAGAGAGAAAATTGATAGATCTGTCTACCCACTGCTTTCCAACATTAAAGCTACAATTTTCCTTTAAAGGAACAAACAGGATTTTCCTTTTCTAACACTGCTCTTTCCTCAGAATTGAAACTGATCAGACCACACTTTTTTTTTAATTTCTTCTTTAATTAGATCAAGAAATCCCTTGCTTTTGTCATCTGCCTAGATGATTCATGAGATACACAAGTGCATTTCATGTACTTCCATGCTTTCAAATTTTAATATTAGTACTTGGGGACCAGGTGACAAACAGGATCATTAATGGAGGGAAGTATTAAAGCTTTCTGCTTCTCCCCTGTGCCATAACTGTAATGACCCCAAATTACGCCTGTCAGCCTCTGCCTGCCACAGGAGAGGTGATTTTCACAGGAATTGGTGAAGGGGGGAAGTATTAAGTTCTGTTTCTCCATGTGCCATTCTTGCATTCCTGATCAAAGCTCTTGCTTTGCAATTTAAAATGTGAAAAAAACATGCATTTCACCCATTGTCTAGTTTGGAGACATACTACTCCACTGACTTGTACAGGCAGCAGTCAAAATTAGGAAAACCAAGGTAACTGATTCCCTTCTAAGATTCCTGCCACTCTTCCTCCATTACAGTTCCCAGAATTTTTGGCAGTTAAGTGTTCTACAAGTGAAATAAGTTTGAAGCATATAAAGGGAGAGTGCTACCACCTTAAGATCTTTCTCTATGAGTAATTATTTCGGAAACAATCCAAACCCTTGAATAATCAATCAGATCTGAAGGTTAGTGTAAATGCATTTTAGATCTTGCTCTTATATAAGCAACAGCCTAAAATATGTAAACAAATTCATGTACCTAAGTAACCATTACCTAAATGACAGGAAAGAGGGATATGGAAAAAGAATGCACATCAGATCAATTATATGCAGTACTTACTCATCTGGCAAAGTTTTTTTGCAAGACTGTATTTCCGTTCCATTATTGCATTCAGAAACTATAAAGGATATTTGAAATGATGCATATTAATACAAAAGGTTTTTTCCCAGTCGACAAATTGAGAATTATTTGTAACAAACTTTCAAGGAAAACAATTTCTTACATTCAAATAACAAAGCCTCAGAATTTGAACATAAATTCATTTTAATTTATGAAATTCTGAAATTTCCTCCTCACTCCCAATCCTAAATCCTGCAGATTTTCCATTTTTCTGTGGGACTGCCATCATGCCACACTCTTAGAGCAGTGCGAGCCAACTGCCCTGGCTCAGAATCCACCCAGTTTCTCTCAAAGGCCCAACTAAACGGCAAGCTATTCATGCCGAGTCCAACTTGACTTTCAGGGGTTTCTGCATGGCAGCTTCTCTCCTTTACATCAGCAGATAAACCACTGAAAGGGCATCTGGCAGTGACGTCAGACTCTCCACACACTGAAAAGGCTACACTGAGAAGGAATGTAGCCTTCTCATCTGTTTTTGCAGAAGAAGCTGTCCTAGGCTGCTGAAGTATAGGCAGCTCCTCTTATATGGACTGCTTTATCTGCCACCTATTAAGACTTTCTGAGCTGCCTTCACCTTTAGGGGTTAGGCAGGTAGTGACCGGAGAAAAAAAAAATGAGGTGTGTCATTTGGTCCTCCGGAAGATTTGTTAATCCTGCTCTGATGCCTTTTTTAAAAAATGTAGTCCCTTCTGTAAAAAGCAAGATACTGCAGGTTTTTAAATATTTTTAACCATCTTGCTCTGGTTATTTCAGCTGAGGGACAATTTTATCTACTGCTCTGTTGCCATTTTTGTTTGCTCACATTTTAAAACACGCTTCAAATCTTGGTTATTAATGGAAGCTGCTGTGGAAAGTGAAGCACTGAAGGCGGGGTATGAAGGACTCAACACTGGGCCTGTGGACAAGGTCGTAGATATATTACTAGCCAGCAGCAATAGAATATGATCGGCTAATCTGTAAGGAGAAGCCTGATATCTTTTCCTATTCATTCTCAATATAAAGAAAGATTTTTGAAGAACAAATATATAATAGAATGAGAGAATTTTAAAACTCGGTACGATAGAAATGTAACATGTATTATGGCTATTCTTTACAATAGCTAGGAGCTTTTAAACTACAGGAGCCATAAAATCTGGTAGTCACAATATTCTTAGAGATGACAGAACAAATGTGTAGTGCCAGAGCAGTAGTTATGATGGAAGTGCTATAACTATATCAACAGTTATAGCACCGTACATCTGCTGCTGGAGCGATGTTACAATCTAACTGCAGGCAGATTGAATGGCACGTAGTTTTAGGATTGGAGCAAAAAATACTTCATCCCCTTTACATATTGTTGGAGAACATTTACCATTACATAGATTTTAATTCTAGTCATGCCTACTATTCACTGTTTAGATACATAAAATGTCAGATTTTATTTCATTCAACAGAACTTTACAATTATCTAAACAATCTTATCACATATCAAAATGCTTGGACATTAATTTTCACTCTACAGAAGGCCAATTTTGTTAAAATGCCTTAAGAAGAATGCGTAAGAAGTTATTGTACCTCTCCCATTAATTGTAGTGGTGCAATTCTCTTTTTAGCTTCATTTTGATTTTGTTCATTGGTTTCATCGTCAGAGCTATCTGGTGGCTTCTCATTAGCATTCTGTTTATCCACACTCTTTGTTTGCATTTCAGTACTGACCCCATCACTGGAAGCCTTTTCAACATTCTTGGAGTTCTTAATTTTTTCATCTGCACAAAATTAATGTGTTATATATAAAAAGAGCAAGAGTCAGTTCCAGTAAGTAGATGGCATTTCAAATACCATACAGACTCTTTACAAATATATTAATATAGAAAAGCTAATGTACGCAAAATCACATCATGATTTACTGGATACTAGTTTCAAAAATATTTGCTATTTCACTGCTTCTCATGTTAAATAATATTTAAATATCGTTAAGGTAAATGGAGTCAAGCTTCTGTGCAACAGGGTGAATTAAGTTAAAACATATGCACTTTTAGATATCCTTATTGAATGACAGCTGATATTTTATCACACCCCTTGTGTGAAAGAATGGCTGTGGGTACACATGAGTGCATGTGCTGCAAGCCCCTACCTGCTTTTGTGGCATTTAAATGCTTCTGTGGGGGGCACTCCACCCATCCGCCCCACAAAGCTTGCCCTCCTTGGTTTAAGCTATTTCTGCTCCATCTTTTCAGTAAATTATGGGTAAATCACATGGGTGAGTCAACTGAAAACCATTTTTAAGCTGATGCACATTTACTGAAGAGATAATTCCACTGGAATCAGTGGGTCTTACTTCCAAGTAACATACATAGGACTGAGCAAAAAATTAAAATGCCATGAATTAGGCTGAAAGCTAAAGGAAGACCTATGAGAAAAAAATGTCATGACCCAAAATGAAAAAATGATTTATACAATTGAAATATTGTTACATATTAGAAAAACTAGCACTGATATACTGACATATATTGAAAAAACTAACCAAGACTTTATTTCATTATCAAATTATCTGCTCTCTCAGCTTTATATTCTTAAGAGCAAAGTACACCTTAAAGTGTTATCCAAGGCTAGATGGCCTTTTGTTCTTAGACTATACAAGGAATTCTTGAAAGCTAAATTAAGACTACAGATCTATTATAACTACCTGGGTGGAAGCTTCCTTGAACTCAGCAGGGTTCGTACCTGCTGAGATCCATACAGGATTGCACTGATTTTGAGGGACTCCCATTCAAGCTAACTATTCTTAAACAAAGCCAGTTAAATTATAGTTGCCTTGAACCACCTCAGTGCTTCTTGAGTCATGAGTAAACTGTGGCATGCTTTCAACTGGTCCTCTGGAAAAGCATAAAAAATCAATAGAAGAAAATGCTAAAGGTCTTTTTCAGACCTTTTAAACAATGCTCAGTTCCTTCTACACTCAAATGCTCCTATACTATAGGAATCTGGGAAAATAGGAGTATTTTTAAGCAGCACTGCATATACTACTAAAAGTGCATGTGTTCTCCCTGTAGTTACTGAATTTTGGCTATCAGACAGCTCAGCAACATGCTGAATAAGCAAGGTTAGAAAGATCTCCTCTTTCTCTTCATTTTATGGATTAAGTACCAGTGATCTGATACACAGGAGTTAATTTAGAAGTCTTTGAGCAGCCTCCAACAGAGGCTGAAGTATTTTAAGAAATGAGAGTCTACAAATAATAAACCAAAATATCCAACAGTACAATTCTCAGTTTCAGGTCAGTATTAGAGGAACAAGCGTCTTGTTACTCTCTTTCCTCAGAGACAATGAAATATCAGAGCCTTGTGAATTAGTCAGTTCAGCAAGGGTATAATTGAACTTTATCCACTACACTCCATTTTGTTTTTTTATTTTTAGGGGAGATGTTTTGTTTTTGACTGTTGCTGTGATGCAACAGCTTTTAACTTTGCTTCAGAATTTAAAAACAAATTCTAAGATGTATACCCCATCTTTGTGTAAATAGATTTATTCATGCCTTTGTATACCTAATCTGGAATCCTCTAGAACCTAGAGCCTAGGTGAAGGGTGATTAAAATATATTTTAATCAATTTCCAGATGCTTTGTGATGACTAAAACCCCCCACAGGTCTATACAACTTCCCTCCTCCTAGTTCTTTATTAACATACCTGGACTGCCATCTCTTCCCTCAAACTTGTTCATGACCTACCATATCTCTGTTAGACACATCAGTAAGTCTCCATAGGGCAGTTTTTTTTGCATTTAAAAATATACAACCATCTAACCTTTTATTTAGTAGGGCTGAGTGAGCTATGACATCACATACAATATATGATACAAGAGTATAGCTCAAAAACAGTTAACAGGAATAAGAGGTAAGGGCTACGCATACGAAGCAATTTTCCTTTAGAAGTCAGGATTTCCTTCAAGGCTAGGAAAACTATGCTACTTATGACAGTTTACTTGTCAGTTATTGATACTTAGTTGAAAGAAGAAATAGTGGGACAGCGAAACTGAAAGATGACCTATATTATCTTCTTTTGTTTCATGCCTGAAATCTGGCCTGATAAAAGAAAACATTAAGGTCGTATAAATTAGCCAATTAAGTGATTAATCAAATAAAATCTTTGATTGCTTTTAAGGCTACCCCAATTAATTTGTAGCAGATATTACAATATTTTAATCATTAATACAAATACAGTGGTACCTTGCTCATGAACTTAATCTGCTCCAGGAATCTGGTCGTGACCCAAATTGGTCATGAGCCAAGTTAAATTTCCCCATAAGGTTCAATGTAAATAAGGTTAATCTGTTCTGTAACTATTTTTTTATCAGAAAAATGTGAAGCAAAGTGACAAAGAACAACAAAGATCGTGGCCATCTCTCTCCCCGCCCCCAAGCACGAGTGCAGCCATCTCCCTGTCCCCCCAGCACGACTGAGATCGCACCTGTCATCCCTGCATGCACCCATCATCCCGGCACACTGTGGGAGGGGGAGACGGGCACGATCGTGCTGGGGGCGGAGATGGCCAAGATCGCGGTTGCACTCCTGCAGGAAAGACGGGCATGATCTCGGCCATTTCCCTCCCCCACCCCCAGCACAATCGCGGCCATCTCCCCACTCGGCGGTGGTCATGGTCGTGGTCGCCACCCAATGCAGAGTTCACGACCTGAGTGAAAATTTTTATGAAATTTTTGTTCACGACCACGATTTGGTCATGAACTGAACCGTACAAACATAAGCTACAGAGGGCAGATGTTATTGTGGAAGAATTGCTCTGCCTCCTCTTGTACATGAGAGAGTGCCTCTTCTATGGTGCCCTTTGTAACATGTGTTTTAATTCCCTTTGTTTGTACTTTCAAATTAATCAGAAAATGAGAAGTGAAAGTGAACAATGCCTACATCTATCTGTTTGATGTAAAAAGAATAAGACCAAATATAACTCTTGAGCTACATTCAACATTATGCAAGCAGACTTCCACTCATGAAACAGGAGGGCATAGGGCCCTCTGGAGCAGATATGGCAAGGTAAGGTGCTGATGGTGAGGAAGGCAGAATTTGATTTGCCAGCACTGTCCACTCTTCTGGTAGGAAACTGCTGAATGTAACCCACAGCTGCATGATAGCAAACTCTCTCCTCCCAATATTAAATGGTTACAGTTAGTGTTGAAGGATATTTCAGTGAGAAGATCAACAATAAAGGAATGGTTGGAATACTCCTTTTGGATTAGTAGTTGCTCCATGAAGTTCAAAACTAACATTAATGGCATTTCTATCATAAAGTCAAGGAAATATCCTTTTGAAATTATGCATACCATAATATATAGACATGAAAGCTGAAATGAAATATATTTTGTCTGAACCAACCATTGACTTTGGATTCTGTCTTAGCCTCAGTTATCAAAGCTTCATGATTCAGTCTCTGTAAATCAGTTTTTAAATGTTGATCATTATGAATTTCTAAGTGGGAAAAAACAGAAATATGGGGTAGAGACACACTGCAAATTAACAGCAACACTGATATTCTCATATTTATCTTATATTTTGATAGCAGGGAATCCATACTATTTAACATGTTGACTGTATGTCTGATATATCAATCAAACTAACATATAGTACTAGAAATACAAGTTCTACTAAAATCATAAAATCAGTGTTCATTTAGTGAGTCCAACTGATGTGCACTCAGGAACCACAGTCCTCATTCAGTCTTTCTCTCCCTTAATTTCAGAGAAGTATTTGTTGGATTGCTTGCTATTAGCTACAATAGACAGTAAGTGACAAATGAGTTTAAGTATAGAATATTTAACCCCAGATATTGAGGTACTGATGTTTTAAACCCCATCAATCACTGGCTACTAGTCTTGAAACCTAGGAGGCCTGTCTACGATTGTGATGTGTGGAGAGCCTGGACTTGCTTCAGTGAAGGCCAAGGTGGTTAGGGCCAAAGCTGCAGAAGTCACTAAAACAGAGATACACTTCATGGGTTAATCAGTTTGTAGTACCAGAGCAAACCAATCTACTGGATTATGATTCAGCAGTGGTGGTGGTGATGAACCTTTAAGGAGATACCAAAAATTTGATTAAACACAAAAGCTTATTGGTGAGGATCCCCTATAAACTATGCAAATTGTTCAGAGACCTCAAAGCTAATAATGATACAGGTTTATCAGGACTGACCATTCTCACCAAAAGATTTTTCAAGAGAGACTGAAAGATCAGTTGTGGAGTATTTGCTTTGTATGCATGCAAAAGAACCCAAGTATGATATGCAACATTTTATTTATTTATTTAGGATATTTGTATGCCGTCCTTTGCAAGAGCCTCAGGACAGCTTACACAATAAAATAAAAATACCTAACATAACATAAATAAATTAGAAGCTGCAAGCAGAGCTGGAAAAGACCCCATATTGAAGCCTTAGACAGTCACTGTCAGTCACTGGAGACAATCCTGAGTGAAGTGGACAATTGGTCTGACGTGGTATAAGGTTAGAACTGGGCCAAACATTTGGCAGCCGTGAGAGCAGTTGGGGTGGGGGTGCTTGGCACTGAAATAAAGATGCCCCTGGAGATAGGGGCAATGGTGAAACTTTCAGGAGTATAGGAGTGCTTACCTTATTCTCAACATCATGACGCAGCCAAGGGGTTTCTCCCCTTGCTTTTTAATGTTAAATAAAACATGTTTCAGAGCTATGGAGACCTTTGTGCCACTATGAGTAGGATAAACTGATCCCAGGGTCCTTCTCCAGGAGCCACTTCCAAAGGAAGTGAGGCAGGAGGCTACCAGGAGGAGGGCCTTTCCATTATAGCACCCCAGTTGTGCAGTTAGCTCCCCAAAGCACTGTACATGGTGCCTACTTTGTATTCTTTCCAGCTCCAGGTGAAGACCTTTTTATTCTCCCAGCGTTTTAACAGTTTTTTAACTTAATTTTTAGTATTGCATTTTAGCCTGTATTGCTGCTATACTTCTGTGCTGATTCAATTCAAATTCCTATTACAGTTTCTTGTTTTAGGTTAATTGGATCTTACATGTGTTTGTGTGAGTGTTTAAAAATTTTCTTAATTTTTGTTAACTCCCCAGAGAGTCTTGACTATTGAGTGGTATCAAAACAAAACAAAACAAAACAAACAAATATTGTCCATTGCATATGTTTCCATGTCCGCAAGATAATTTTGCACTCTGCTGTCTTAGGCCCCATCTAACAGTACATCACAGGAACTGTCTATAGACAAAGGCTGGCTCCCTTGGCTAAAGTCAGACATGACTGGATTTAATGTCAAGGGGAAACCTTTCCTTTGACCTAACAGTACAGGACTGCATAGGCCTGCTATAAATCACACACACACACACACACACACACACACACACACACACACACAAATCTCACCTGCTTCTTCTTCTATGCAGTCATGTAATCTTACACTCATCTTTGGATTTTTATGTTTTGCAATCCTTGTTAAAGTTTTCCGTCTAAGTATTGCAAGTGTTTTCCAAGGGAAAGATAAAAAACACAAGTACTTTTATATATACAGACTAAGAATACAGAGAATTTATGCTCTGAATTTCTAGCTCTATTACTATTTGCATTTGGCATACTTTTTATGGCAAAGAACATTTTACGTCCATCTGCTGCCATCTAACATTGACAGGCAAGAAAAACTACTTAGAACTAATGCTGTATTTCCCAGACTGCTTCTCCATCACCGCCTGAGGACTGGTGTGCATATTACACTTACTATGGAGACATGCAGGCAAGTGAATCCTGTCTTAACATTTAGAAGTGCTTACCATGCAGAACATCACAATCATAAGGAGAACTCCCTTCCTCTCATCAATAGCCACTAGGAATATTCATGGAAGTCCTCAACGCAAGAGCTACATGTGCTTTGCACATCTAGACTTCACAGCAGGGGCAGGGATGTCATGTTTTGGATAGCATTCCCAGATGGACACGATATATAGCACACTCTAAAAGGGGTTCAGGAGTATGCCTTAAGACCTGTTTGAGATCTACACTGTTGCATAAAAGGATAACAGTTAACTATTGAAAAAGCTCACTGTCAGCAATTTATTCTTATAACAAAATTAATTAAGAACTCAACTGAAGTGAGACTTACTTTTCTAACGATTTAGCTGCACATAACAAGATCTGCTTTGATGGAGTGTAAGGCCTGCTTGCAGATTCATTTCCACATCCCATGCTGCCTTGGTTTAAAAAAAAAGGAAAAAGAAGCCAGGGGGTGGGTGGGGAGAACCATCACATTTTTAAAAAACATGAACTGCAGAATAATGATTCGCACTAAGCTTCTAACCAACCGCTGTGGCTTTCTATTTATTTCTTCCTTTCTTGTATTCTCTTCTTTGAGATACCAAGATCAAGGGCTGATTTTGGCTTAGTAGCAAGCCAAATAGAATACAGAATATGTTCACAAAATAAATGATTCAAACTGTGAAGGAATCTATACATAATCTAAAACTTAATTAGTTTAAAACAACACTATAAAGGGCATATAATTACAGAACTTTAGCTGATGTAACAGAAAATCTCAGATAGAAAGGTCCTGGTTTAAGCTTGCAAACAATAACAAATATTGCACTGTAAAATGCCCTATTCATATCTAAAATCCGGTAATTTCTGATACACAGGTTGCAATCAGAAGCATGCTTATTTGAAACTAAAGCCTAGCTGAAGTGGAACTTGCATGACTGTAGTATAATTATTAGTGGAAGGCACTTATGTCTAATATGTGCTTTATAAAAGAATTTCAATCCATAAGTCATTACGTAGGTTTCAGATGTCTCATTAATTCTTCCCATGTTCACAGTTTGCTTTTACAATGCTGTCTGACCATCCTCAATCACATCTGGAGATGAAATAATCTCCAGTGTTTCTGGAGTGATCTACAACAATAGCTTGTAGGCTCTGCAACTCCTTGTCAAGGGAATATAGGCTGAAATATAACCCTGGAAAAGAAAGTAACTGGTGGGTGCTATCTATTTCTTAATTTTATCCATGTATTTTAATTGATTTTATCTTCTGTTTTGATTCACTTGCCTTTATGTTTTAATCATCATCATTTTGTATTTTATTGTAAACTTCTTTTAGCACCACTTGTAGGATATAAACATAATGAATAAAATGCATTGGAAAAGAAAAAAAATCCTTAACATTGCAGTCCTATGCACCTCTATTCAGAAGTAATTCTTAAGTTCAGAGGAATTTGTTTCAGTTGATTGTAGCATCATTCTTCATATTGATTTTTGCATGACTTTTCAGACTCCAAAATGTGATATAATTTGTGTTCTTGAACATTAATACAGCTCAAATCTGCTACAAAAAATGATCACATCCTGCATGTTCCAGCAACTGAATATTACTACTATGGTACCACTGGATTAATCCAGATTCAGACCCTGTCTGGATCCTGCACTCCCTGTGCAAGCAGATTCCTGTACATGAGTTCCCTTTCTGGTCATGCACTGTGATATGCAAGGGACAGCTCCATCACACACTCCAGTAATAGAAATCAGTCATGCTTCTTGGCACTTATTCCTGACTGCTTGTGTGTCAACTATTCTGGAATAATTGGTCAACCACAATGGCACAAAAGAGGAATATGGAGAAGGAGGGCTGGTCATGGTCTGTCTCACTGCTTAACCAAGGCCAAGATATGCTAAACTGGCTGGGCTTCCAACAAACGCAGCAAAGAGGAAATGGGTAGGGAATGGAACTCCAGAAGATAGGATGGGACCTGAAACAGAGTTGCTCTGTGATCTGGCTGGACCATTTCTGAAGGAGACCTGGGGTGTAGAGAAGCCCTTGAAGTCACAACATGGGAAGCAAGAGCAGGGACCAAGTGAACTGGGGGAATGGGTACAATTTTCATTGTTTCAGGAGATTTCAGCAAGGGAGCAAGTGTCAATGGACACAGCCAGGACACTGGGTTTGTCATGCAGAGTAGGGGTCTCAGGTTCTTGAGAGGCCATGCAATTGCAGATCTTGGTGTGCGCCAGGAATATGGCAGGAGTCAGGAACCAAGTGGTTTCAATGAGGCACTTCAGCAAAATGGTGGCAGCCTTGGGGGGGGGGATAGGAACCTAGTGATTTCCACAATAAAGTGTAGTGTCCTGCCTCTGTGCTATAGGTTAGGAACAAAGTGACAAAGTGGATGTGGTTTACCTGGATTCAGCAAGGCCTTTGACCTAGTGCCCCATAATATCCTGGCTGAGATATTGAGGAGTTTTGAGATAGACCAATGCACTGTTTGATGGATTAAGGGTATGGTTGACTGATCAAAAGCAGAGGGTAACCATTAGTGAGGAATCATCAGGATGGTGGCCAGTGACAAGCAGGGTCCCCCAGGGCTATGTCCCGGGGCTGATCCTGTTCAATCTTTTCATCAACAACATGGAAGAAGGGGTGAACAGTCTGCTGATCAAATTCACAGATGATACTAAAATGTGGGCAGTGGCCACAACTGAGGAGCAGGTACTCCAGATCCAAAAGGATTTGGGCAGACTATAGAAAAGGGCAGGAAACAACAGGATGGCATTCAGTGTGGATAAGTGCAAGGACTTGCACTTAGGGCATAGGAATAGGTGCCATAAGTACAGGTTAGGGGACAAGTGGCTGGAAAGCAGCACTTGTGAAAGAGATCTCGGAGTGCTGGTTGACTGCAGGCTAAACATGAGTCAGCCGTGTGACGCAGTGGTCAAGAGGCCAAATGCCACCCTTGGTTGCATAGCCAGAAGTGTGGCTTCTGGATCGTATTACTACCACTCTATATGACTCTGGTGCACCTGCAACTGGAGCATTGTGTTCAGTTCAGGGCCTCTCATTACAGGAAGGATATAGCCAGGTTAGAGTCAGTGCAGCATAGGGCCACAAGGATGGTGGCCGGATTGCAGGGAAAGACATATGAGGACTGAGGAATCTGGGTCTTTTCAGCCTTGAGGAGACTCAGAGGGCACCTGTTGGTGACATATGCGTATGTGAGGGGATGCCACATGGAGGTGGGTAGAGACCTGTCCTCCCCTGCAGAGGAGGGCAGGACGCACTCCAATGGAGCAAATCTCAGGGAACCAAGGTTCAATTTGGATGCCAGGAAGTAGTTCCTGACAGTACCCTGGGGTATGGAATGGGCTTTCACAGGAGGTGGTTGAGGCCCTATTGGTGAGGGTGTTCAAGGATAGGTTAGACATGCACATGGTAGGCATGTCATGAGCAGAGCTGGCTAGAACTAGAGGTCAGACTAGATGGCCTGAGAGACCCCTTCTGACTCGTTCTGTTTCTATGTTTCTATGACTTCAGTGCCAGAAAGAAGTGTGAAGGGGGCAAGAACTACTTAGACAGCACAGAACAGGGAGGAGAGGAACTACTTGGACATTAGAGCCTATAGCTTTTATGGGATTTAAACAAAGAAAATAAAGGGAAAAAACTCTGGGTCTAAGTAAAACAGACATGACAAAAGAGCACAGACAACTCCTGATTCAAAATGAACAGAAATTTTAATAAACATTGCTGAATGTACTCAAGACAGTACTTCATTGAGATTACAGTGCTTGAGGGTGGGAATCTGTGCCTGATCACTTGTCAATAATTACTCAACACACAGTGAAAATGATTTTTGCCTGGAGGTGTATCCACATGTAATTTCCAATTATTGTGCCTAATCAAATTGTGAGGCACTTAATCCAGTGCTGCATGATTAGATCATTCTGCTAAATCACTGTATGTGGCCAAATGCTAACAATATCAGGGCAAAATCACTTGCTGAATACTTTTCCTACTGAGCACCCTAAGATATAAAGATTGTCAGGGGAGTGGGGAAGAGGTGGGATGAAAGTCTCCAAGTGGGGGGGAGTTTCTTGTTGGTGATGGGTAAGCATGCCTTGTTAACAGGACACTGTCTAGTCCAGCTCTAGCTGTACCTCTTCTAGAGATGAAGAGTGAAGGAGCAGATCATCCAGATATAGATGGATGCCCTGATGTCAGAAATATGTATATAATGAGAGAAAGCATTATTTTTGACAAGTCTGGACACATAGCCTTACACTGAGAACACATAGGCCTCTCCTGCAAATGTTAGCCTTGGTAAGAGAATCTCCTTCATTTCCAGTGATCAAGGACTATCAATATATGGCGGCAGGAGTGTAGTAACTCACCTGCATGGAGTCCCTTTGGGCTGGTGTACAGTGTCTCCATAAGCAACTGCCAGTATGCTATAAACTTGTTTATGCATGTTAAATCTACTCCTTTTGGTGCTATGATATATAAAATAGAATAAGCTTCCCATGCTAGAAGGAAATGCTGGGCATCACCAGATGAAGGCAGGCACCACAACTGTTGGCACCATGTCTTGGGTGGAGAGGGATGACCAGGAAGGTTTTGGGTTTCTGAATTCTTTGGAAGGAAAAAAATTGGCCCGAGGGTTAGCATAGGGGAAAGGAATGGTCTGTTGGAAGATTTCTTGACCTCCTTTTTTGGAGGCAATATATACAACCTTTAGCTTCTCCTTTGTTTCTACTAGGGCCCTTTAAGATAATCTCTGAAAACTGGGCCCCTTTGAAGGCTTCTCCAGCTAAGCTGTCCTTACAGAAGCCTTCAATGCTCCATTATCATTAACCAGATAGATTTTCAGGTTACTGCAGTGGCTACAATAGATCTACACTGAACAAGAGTTTATCCTGTCCAGAATGAACAGGAAAACTGTATTTTGAAATTTTACCTAAGCCTCTGTAGAGAACACTTCTATCCAGATCCCTGTTAGTCATGATGTTTTGTACCAAGATGATGGGGGCTTTGGAAATATAGGAGGGCACTGCAGAAGCTGTAAAGGTGAATGTAGCAGCCTTATGTGCTTTTTTAATAGTACTGAATAGGAGCCTCTTTTCTCTGTGGGTCCTTGATGTGAACTTTCCAGTGCTTAGACATTACTGCTTCAGACAAGAGACAGCAACTAGAGCATATATTTGAGCTACTTTTAATTCTTCCATACTTTGCTCTGGAAAGTTGTAATAACAGTGGGCAACAGTAATGATCTTTTTTCCTCTGGAGGTAAGAAGTCCATTCATGACATTATTTAAGAAAGGAGGAAACAACACTTCTCTGCTGTTTTAGGAACATGAAACATAACCACCACTCTAAATAGCGGTTGTAATTTTTCAGTTTCCATAGACTGTATAGCCAGGGAAGTAATGGCTTTAGCTAACAATGGAAAGGCATTGTTATTATTGAAAAACCTTGGTGTTTGCTGTATCCTCACATTTGCCCTGAATGGACGATTCGCCCCCTCCTTGTCTCCTGTACAATTTATGGAGAGTTAGTATGAACTTATGAACCAGGGAATCGCCACCTGGAGTCTGTCTGTTCTTGCCCTAGGCTGCTGCTGTGTGTCTAAGGATTCCCTATCAGATTCACTGGATAAATGCTCGTGTGGATGTGGAATAGCTTTTTCCTGTTTCTAAGAGGCTTTTTTGGGAGGAAGGGATGACCTAAGCCTGTAAATGGAGGAGAAGTCATCTCTAGACAGAGTATCCTTTTCCCTTTTACGTGAATGTCTAGTTCTGGCCTCATGTTAATCTGGCCTCTAGCAGTTGATCTATGGACTTGTAGCAGAACCAGCTTCTGAAGAGGTGCCTGACAATTTGGAGGGCGCTAAATGGTAGACAAGGTCTTCCTATAATGCTGTGCAAGAACTGCAGCCCTCTAAAACAGGAAACTGGTTTTGGAAAACTTAAGAGTTGTTGGCAGCTCCAAGAATGTGTGAGGTCCATGAATGCAAATAGTTCAGGAGTCATTTCCACCAGCAGGAGGTATTCATTATAGCAGCACTCACTGAGATTGTGGAAAGTGAGGCTGAGTGGGTGGCCTGAATCTGCATTCTGTTGCTACTCACTGGTGATCCCTTCAGTCCAAGACATGTCCAAAATAGAGCTGAGGATGCGATTTGGCTAAGAAGGCTGGTGGTGACTAGGGCTGAGGACAAATCTGTTGTGCCTAGCTATCTATGCCTTTCCTTCACAGACTTGCAGGATGCCTTCTTGCAAGTACGGGCCATCAAAGAGCAAGAAGAAAAGAAAAGGGTGAAAGAGAGACAATAAATAGGAGCCTTGTGTAGTGAAAGAAAAAGATGAGACAGTGAGGATGTAGCTCTGTCCTAAGCAAAAAAGCATAGACAAACTGGCAGAAGGGATTGCATTATAGATAATAGGGGGAAATCCTATTTACATGATCCCTGCTTTTCCTGGGCAGTAACTCGTTGTTGAATGCCTTCTGCACACCAAGCTTGAGATGTATTATTAGCAGACAAAAAGCCAGACCTGCAGCAGGCAGCACATTCTTCATTCTAGTATGTATTGCTTTCATATTTTTACTAGCAAGAAGGGAGAGAGATGCGTGTGGGATTTTCTCCTTCAGTTGCCAAAATACTTTGACTAGCATTGGGTACTATGCACCTTGATCAGTATGGGGATGGGCACCATTTGCTGCTTTGCTTCCATGTAGATGAAAAAGGTATTTATACATAATAGTTCTGATTACTTGGGTAAGCAAGTTAAACCATATATTGCAGCAGAAGTTACTTCCAGTGACAATTGAAATCTGGCATGTATCTTCTTTTCTTTACCGTTAAAAATGTGACAAAGAATGTGGATGCAGTTCATACAGCACTGGTCCTACATATTTGCCAGTGATGAGTGTATCAAAACAGGGTCTAGAAAATGGCATCCTCTGTGGACAAATATATTCTTAAAGAAGAGCTATATATTCACCCAAATTATAAATATTTCATCAAGTAAACTATATATCCTTGGCTATCTGACTCAAACAAGATCTAGCAGCCTACTCTTATAAACTGGCAGTGACTGTAGTAGCACAAGCGAGTTCCTGAAACTGCAGCAGCTATGGCAACTAATTAATTCTAGCAAGTGAAACAGAGTTCTCCATCTCTAGCTCCTGTAAGGAAAACCTTCCCTTCCCTTATGGATAAGTTAGGCAAAGTGTTGTGCTACAGCTTCAATGATACTGAAGGCCAACAGGAGACCAGGTGATGCTATCACTAACTTGATTTCTATAAGTGCTCTTGCATGGCACTGCTGCAATGGGTCAAGGAGAAGAGAGCTTTGCCAGCACAGCTGTCTGCGCAGTTGCAACTGCCCTAGGGAGACTGTGTACTAAAAACAGGCAGCAAGGGCTAAAAATAGCTACTGTAAGATTGGGAAACTGAACATCCATGTCTTTAACTACTGGAAGAGCTTCTCAATGCACCATTCTATTTTTGGGACTTCAGTAGACACCACTTTCATTTTCCACAGAGTCATTTTACATAACCATGGGCACTGGAAAGGGAGAGCAGAGAGCCTCTGTGAAATTATTCGCTAGGTATCTGTTTTTGTCCTCATGATAAAAATGTGTACATAAAAATTTGGATGGAAGCTCCTAAAACAGAAGGGGGAAAAGTTACAAACTCAGACAGCTACTTAATAGGATTTGTGGTCCATAACCAGGACATGCTTGCATTTCAGAAACCAAGCCTTTACAAAAGCTGGTAATGCAATTCTCCAAGATTTAGGCTGCAGGATTATGTGTACCCTCCAAATATGCATTTCCAGTCCTTCAAACCTAACTGATGCTGCAATCGTATTTACACTGAGTGGGGAGTAACCCTCAACTTGTTGCCATGCTCCCTCTGAATGGCTTCTCCTTGGAGAATGACCTGAAGTCTCCGAAGTTATTGCAGAGGAGTAGCTAGGCAGATCATTTCTGAACCCCAAGGAAGACAGGTGTCATGCATTCCCCTCAAAACATGCTTTCCCCTTAGTCCAGTGATGGCAAACCTTTTAGAGACCAAGTGCCCAAACTGCAACCCAAAACTCACTTATTTTTCACAAAGTGCCAACACTGTAATGAAACCTGAAAACGGAGGTTTTAGTTTGGAAAAAACAACTCACAGTCAGTCCAAGCAAAAAATATATATCCTTGGCAGCGCACTGACCAGCCACGCGAAAGCTCAGACGAGTTGCGGCTAATCAGTCACTGCTTGTGACATCATCACCTGGTGTCACTACTCCTTTCTGAGCATGTGTATGGCCCCTGTGTACGCTGTTATCCAATGCTCAGCTGCTGGGGCAATACTGAGGCGACCTGGCTCACGTGCCGACAGAGAGGGCTCTGCATTTCCACTGTGGCACACATGCCATGGGTTCACCAACAAAGCCTTAGCCCTTTCTCAGTCTTGGAGGCAGATGTCAGTTGGTTAACTAGCCTCAAAGAACGCAAGCACCTAAGGTACAGCACCAGCCAATTACGAGAGATGATTAACTGCCTGCTTGAAGAATAAAGATGCCTCATGAGGATAGGTTAACTCATTAACAAGACTGCGCTTACATTCTCAAGTGGCACTGATGGCCTATAGCTGTGATCTGGACAGTGGCTCTGAAGGCTTACCATTAAAGGCCATCTGTACAAAAAGTGCCAACTCCTAGATTCCTACTTTATAATTCCCCAATAACCTGGTTCTTCTCTGGACCCCAGATTGCCTACTAACCTCACAATATAGTACAGAAACTGGTTAAATCCCTGCTCTTGCACCAAGCTAAACAAGACACATATACAAGGGATTATGCAATATGTGACTAGTAATTATACTATCTAACTTTGACTTGTTAAAAAGCATCAAATATACCAGCTGCACAATAAAAGAAATCTTACCGTGGCATTGATTGAACAGGTTCAATAACTACTTCTTCTAAAAAAAGAAAAAGAAAGACTTAGTTTACTTGATACATATTATTAAATATTTCTCTCCTCCTTGAAAGACAGCATAGATGACATATTCAAATACTAAGAAATCATTTTTATTAAAATTAAAATGCATAGCTTTATGGGCAAATGGAAAGAATGTTTGTAAAAATCTTTTTACATTGCATTTATATCTCCTCTTTTTTCCTCTTGTGAGGCAAGCAAGGTTACTTACATAGCTCCCTTCTACCTTCACAACAACCTGGTGGGAAAAGTTAAGATGCCTCTACTGCTCATGGTCCTGATTCATCCCTAGAGTTGCTTTTTATTTATTTTTAATGCACCTAAGTTGGACTCATGCAATTAATGTCACAACTCATCTTGCTCTAAGAAGAAGTGAAAAATTCAACTGCCATCACTCAGTAGCTGATCTGAGATCCTGCTGCAGCAGCTGAGTCTATCTCTGTTCTTTGGGCAAGAAAGACCTGAAATTGGTAGAGATGATGTTGGGAAAGGGAGAATATGCTACCTCAGAGCAATTCCATGAGCAAGCATGGGTAAAAACAATGCAGAAGTTAACAGTATCATTTTATGCAAGCTGCCTCAGGGATTCTTCTGAATGTTAGGTTAAAAAATCAAGTACATATAAGAATATAATACTTTTGGAGGAAAACCTTCTGCACGAACAATAGCTTTGTAATCCATATTGCATTCAAGAGTGCAAGTAAAATGCTGTTTCCTAACCTTCTCAGTGCAAGCTTGATTGTGTGGCAAGTAGAACCTCCTAGATCAACCACCTTTGAATGCACCGCAAGAGCAATGTACTAAGCACCTGCCTCAGCCCACTGCAGTTCAAAGAGAAAGCTGGGTGCCTGATTGGAGTGCCATGCTGCAACTGAAGAGACAACTGGTTGCTTGCAGATCCTGCCTGACAAGACACTCTTCATATGGGCAGGACATAGAAGGGGTACTTCTCTAGCCCTCCTCGATCCTGTGGAATTTAACTGAATTTTTCCTTTTTCAGTCTCTGATGGGATAGGAAGGATGTAGCTGAAGATCGTATTTCCTCCTTTGCTTCCTTTGGAACCTAGATACCCTACAGAGCCTTCTCCAACTCAGTGTCCTCCAAATGTTTTGGCTTTCAGCTTCCATCATGGAAGCCAGCGTGGTCAATAGCCACGAATGCTGGTTGTTGTAGTCCCAAACACTCGAGTGCACCAGCTTGGGGAAGTTGGCCTACAGGGCCCTAGTGGCCTGTAAAAGTAATGGAAGGCTCCTGGCAGGATGTCATTATGTGACAGGGAGCTGGGCACAGGCAGACAGACAAATGCCTTAGGTTGGCTGAAGAGGTTACTGCCAAGGACAGAAAAGAGTGATGGTGAGTGTGATTTGGTACTGTGTGGAATAGTAGCATGACAAAGTCAGAAGGGAAGTGGGACAGTTCTAGCTCTGGTTGTATGTGAGTGTGGTCAACACCACGTCCATTAATTATGCTCTTTGAGTGAGGGCCTGGAACAGCTGCTTCTGCTTTACCTTAAACAGAAAAGGTCAGTTAAGAACCACTCTGACAGGGACAAGGAAGAGCAGCAGATTCTCCTGGTCTTTGCTCCCATGTAGAGTTTACTAGTCCTGCCTTCTAGACAGGCAGCATATCCAATGTCCTGGTGCCAATCACTAGCATTTCTCTTTTATGAAATGCTACCTGGACTAGGGCGGGGGCATCTGCTTCCCTACCTCAAGCAGCAAATGTCTTGGGCCAGTCTTGTCCCTCCTCAACAGAATCCTGTTCCATCTGAGCACAATCACTCCTTCATCTGCGTAAATCTAGCTCTGCTTCTTGATCAGGCTAGCATGTGCCAAGGAGATTACAAGTTCATGGATTCTAACTAAGATTTTAAAAACTCTTTACCTTTTGGACCAAACACATGCAACCTTCCGTTTTGCCTATTTTTCTGTTCCTGCAATACAAACAGAAGTAAGAACCCACCACAGGACCTGCAATTCTATCCTAAAATTCTTCACCATGATTTCTCTCACTAGTGAGAATTCCTGAAAGTTTCAATAAAACACCACAACATAGGTAAAGGATGTGATCCTTGATCAAAGATATGAAACATGCAACTGACTGAGACATTATTCAATGTGATTAGTAAATGCCAAAATATAAATTTCTGTTAAAGATAAACATATAGCAAAATTCCAGAGAAATAGTTTTACCTTCACTGCATCTGTCCTTCCTAAACCATTATGCCTAATATAAGATAAAATAATTTGTATAATGAATATTTGGGAAACAATTTATCCAAATAGAAATAATACTTTAAAATAAACCTACATCACAGAACCTTCTTATGTTTTATATAGAAGAATATGAGAACTAATCACAACTAGAAATTGTTATATTAGTCTACTAATTCTTAATATTTCTTAAATTGTCAACCACCATGTTTGCTTTCTGCAGACCACCACATTTTGTATCTTATGATGAACTTGAGAGGCTGGTTGAATGATCTTCCACATGGTTGGCACATCATTCAGCACTAACACTGCCCACAGGCATATGGGATACAGTCTTCCCTCTGCATTCCTAGCATTCAAGGAAACCACCACAGACCATATGCATACCACTTACTTGCTACCTAACCAGTTTCCCCTGTTCAGGTGTTCCATGTATGTGCATCATACTGCATCAGAGCTAATTTCCATATATACTTTTTGTAAAGAAAATAATTGCAAAGCTGCTTCAAATGGTCTTTGGTCTTCAGAAGCTACAGTACCTATCTAAGGCTATATTCCTTTACTTACTGCGAATATACTTCACTGAACTCAAAAGAGTTTATATATGAGTACATCTACCTGTCACCCTGCTTTCAAACTCTCTTCCTCAGGCAGGTGTAGGGTTGTTGTGTTAGTAAAATGGAAGGTAAGAGGGAAATTACCTTTGTTCCTTGGATGCCTGGCTCCTAGCCTTCACAGACACAAGAGGAAGGGGGCCTCCTTCCTCCCCACTGCCACTGCCAAGGTGTGGAAGCAGGTGAATGGGAGGGCAGAGGATTTGTTTTCTCATTTGGCTTGTATTAAAACCACTAAGGATTAAGTCCTGATACTTCCCCTCTATATAGTGCCATAGCCTACTGTTCTAGGGCACACATATTTCAGGTATCTTAAGAATTTACTTGCATTGTCAGGACCAGAACCTGCATTGTCAGGACCAGAACCTGCATGTATGGTGCAATCCTATGCATATTGAGTGAGAAAAGAGGCCTACAGCTGTCAGCATAACCCATCCTCCTCAAGCAGGCTATGTGGGGGTAATCAATATAACCAATTACTATAAAACTTTAACTTTTGAATGTCTCCCTGATTTCATTTTTCCATCTCAAAATCACCTCAAGTATTTTAGTCAAGGTATGATAATATACCCCCAGTACTAAATCATTTATGGGATCTGATATTGTCAACTACAGCAGTTCTGTGCAGAAAACTTCCCCTTTTGGGATTACTGTGCAATACCACCTCCAGTATTCTTTGCCTTGATTTATTCCACACATTACTTAAAATGACTCGACTGGAAATGATTTAGCACCAGAATTCCATAAATGAAAACTGGCAGAGACCAAAGATCCATTCATGATTATTCTTTGCAGATGCCATTCTTATGTGTTTTTATGAGTAATTGTAGTGATAGCTTGTTTACCATTACTTTGGCCTCAAGAGAATTAATTTGTTCCCCGAGAGCCAGGGCCTACACTTACTTTCCAACAGGCCAACAGGCAGGCAGACAGGCATACAAATGACACTGTGCAATACACTGACTAGCTCCAAACCTACTGCTGGCTTTCTACCTCTACAGCTGTTGTGTGTGTGCGTGTGCATGTGCATGTGTAGGCTTGTTTGGCCTTTGAATAGATAATGTGCTTCAATATTGAAAAGCAAAGAGAACAGCTCTAATCCAAAATAACTGTACAATTACATAGATGTCTACTCATATGTAAGCACAACTGAATTCAATGAGTCTTATTCCCAAGTAAGTGTATCCTAGTTTGCCACTTAAAGCAGATGACTGCATTCACAGTTCTGTTGCTATTAATTAAAGGGATATTCTCAGGGATATTCTCAGTTACTAAATAGTGTGTGTGTGTGTGTGTGTGTGGGGGGGGGTGTAATTAAGGTAGATGTTAATAGTTGCATAAAGCCTGAAGTAACTAACCTCCATTATATTCAAGTTTGCTAGTAATCCTGTAATTTTGGGATAAAGAGAAGTGCTAAAAAGGTCTAAAGGATCTGCCCTTTTGACATACCTTCCTTTCTGTTTTGCCTTCATGTTAAATACAAAAACTCAAGAGTTCAGAGGAGGCTGAGGTGGAAACCTCAACACAATTCTAGTCTGTTCAGCCCTTGGTCAGTCATTCAGGTTAGCCATTCAGAATTACAGTTCAAAAAACCCTACTTTCGTTTTTCTAAAAGTCTTTTCACATACTAATACATACATCAGAAACATATGTGGTAAAACATGTGGATACTTCCATGTGCATTTAGAAGGGCAGGTTGCTTACCGATAATTAGAGTTTTCCAAGTGGCCATCTATGTACTCACACATATGCGCTCCGCACCTATGGAGAGCATTGTTCGGAGCATTCTAGAGATGGGCAGAGTTTTGGTAGGAGCCCTCCCTCCTCTCCACTGTGCATACACATGGTATATCTCTAGTTCCCCTTCAGTTCCTTTTTAACTGAGTGCAACTGGATCTTTGAGATCACCTCAGATCATTTGGAAGCTGCTGGCACTTATCACCAATTTCTTTTCTTTTTATTCCTTTGGTTGCTCAGCATTTTCCTCAGGTCGGTCATTCAGAAACACAGTTCAAAAATCAAAACAAAACAACCCCCAAAACTAAGTAGGTGTCATCAGAAGGGGACAAGAGAAAACCACTGAATGATAATTCATTCTCAGAACTGCTAAACTTGCCAAGGACAAGAACCCATCTTCCTCCCTTACCTTGACAAAGGCAAACATGTTTCTAGGACAAATCCATCTAAAAAGAAAAGTTCAAATATTTTTTGTTCAAAATTAAAACTGTATTTTTTAAATCTATGAATAAGTTCAATGAGACAGAATGACCTGGTTGGCATGTACAGATTATTTAACCCATGAATTGCAGAAATCAAATCAAATATGCAGCCTCTGGCCACTTCTGCTTTCATTAACAACCTGTGATTCTCCCATTCCTGGGTTACTGTTACATCAAAATATGGAAATTCTGAGTTATTCTGGGTTTAACAACCCAGAATTAACCCAATGACAAACCATAGGTTAACTCTGGATTGTTCAAATATTAAACAATCCAAAGTGTTCAGGTAACATCACAGTGACAAACTACAAGTGGGGCAATCACTGGTCACTAATCAAAAGCAGCAGTGGAAGTGGCAAGTGTGCCAGAGACAGCACACTTGCTTTCGCCCTCTCATCTCCAGCAACTTATATACAAGCTCTAACACAACATTAAATTGATAACATTAAAATATATGTTTTAAACAACATTTTACAAACCCCTTAGTAGTGATATAAGAAAGCATTTGCTAAAAAGCCAGGTAAATTGAGAGAAAAGAACCTATTATTAAAAGACTGTAACTTCTTCTACTACTAAACTTTGGGTGGACAGTTCAGCAGTGAGATGATGATACCCAGAAAGATAATACAGCGGGACCCCCATATCTGCAAGGATAGGTGCCAAGCTCCCCAGCACATTTCTGAAACTGCAGATAACAGTGAACACTATATACTGTACATTTACATTTCCTTTTCTTTCCAGTTGTAGGGAACTGGTTCCTTTCCAGTGTAGGGAACTGGTCTGCCTGAGTCTCTAAGATCTTACAGTATCCAGAAAATGGGCATTAGGCTCAGAAAGATGTGTTCTATGCTCTCTTAACTTTCACTTTCTGTATACTTTCACTTTCTTACTCTGTAGAAATCGTCTCAATTTTCCATATTACCAACTAGCTCTCATCACAATCCCTTTTATTTAATGAATTCCAAACTTCAGTATATTAGCAATAGTTCAGTTATTGGCTATAAACTAGTTAAATAGTCCTGACAAGCTCACTAATGAAGGACTGTCTTTCTTGTGCTTCACTCCTCCTTTCAGTTTCACTTTACTGTGCCATCTATAACAACAGAGGGGTGTGTGTGTGTCTATCAGGACTATAGTGCCAAGACTCAAACCTATATAACTGAAACTTGGCATGCATACTAAAGAAGTGTCCACTGTAAAGAATCCCAAAGCCTTTGCTGTATCAAACTAAGGGCTATTCCAACTTGCACAGAGCTAGGTTCATTCCCTGGTATTATGAACAATCCACACAGTCTCTCAATCCCTAGTGAAGCTCACATTTCATTACACTTTTAACAGGATTTCCTGGTATATTTCTGAGTGATTTGCAGACAGTGTCCAATTCTCAATTTTTGAAATAATAAGGGTGCTTCCAGATGAAGCCTTTATAGTGCAATTGCTTCATTCATGGAATTTTGCAGGAGATTCAGATGTCATTATCTTCAATTTGTGGCCCTTCCTTGTTTTCCCACTGCTTCTTCCATCTTGTTCATTAGCAAAGAAAACCTGATAAGGGAAAAGACAGAATAGCTGGCTAATACCTTTTGATTGTTAGCACTGGGAACCCTCTTTCTGAAAGCATCCTGGACCTACATTTGGTTGTGAGAAACCCCAGCTATAGGTTTCTCCAGGTCAGCCGAGTATTTGGAATTTAGTAGGTTCCCCTGAGCCACCATTTTGCATCTGCTTCCAGTTGGTGGACCTTGGGTTCAAGCAAAAAGCAAAGTAGATCCTGTAAGCCTTGAAGTCTGCCTTTCTCTGCTCTACAGAAACATGGAACGTATTTTAAAAGGGTAGGAATCCCTTTCATGCCACCTCTGTGAGCCACAACCATGTTCCTGCTCCAAG